ATCCTTTCATAAAAATTGAATGTTCCTTTCATGAGACCAAGACAACAACTGCCCAGCTCCTGGCTAAGCGTTGTCAGAAGTGTCACGGTTGGAAGGAAAGTCATACTTGCACTGCCCTTCAGGGCCTACTTGTGCAGATTTATGAAATCTGTGGTGTTTGGCAGAAGATTATAAGTGCTTTGAAGTTGGGAATTTTATGAACAAAAAGTACCTATTGTTTGAGTCTTTTATTATTTTTTTTTCCTGAAAATACTGTCCACAAAGATAAAACTTGGCCTCCTTTGCTTAATTAAATTAGCTAAACTAAAGGAAATTGGACTTTTATGTAACATGTTACATTAATCACGCTATTAAAGAATGGACATTTATTGTCAGTTTTCATATATGATGCAATAAATTTGGAGCATCTGTTGTAAATAGATTGTTTTTTGCACTGACTCAGGTGGGTTTGATATTTTGGATGTTTTTCTTAATAAGTTGAGAGGACGCTTAATTTTATTTGTGAGAGTGTCAATGATAAAAATAATTTCAAGACAAAAAATGGAAATAAAATGCATCTTTCCTGATTAGCATGTATTTTTTCTCTTGTGTATTATGTGATCTGTAAGGCCATCTCTCAAGCTACATTTGATTTAGTGACCTCCCTTAAAAAAAAAAAAATTGGAATGAAATTGGCTGCTAATTGTTTCCAGGGAGCAGTTCAAAGCATAAATTTAAGACAGAAGACAGAAAATATATTTATGTATGTAACATGACTCATTAAGGCTTATTTTAATCACAGAGGAGCTATTAAATATTGATTATTTCAAAATATTTCAGTTTAAAGTGGCAAAATTTGAATCCAGAATCAGGAAATAAATGTATCCATTTATTTATTTATTTTTATTTTATTGGAAAATATTATTACTACGAGATAGTGATTTTCTGTGGTCCTAGGCAGATTCCTAACGTTTTGCATTATCCGTTGATGATCGATCTATAGTTTGTGTGACAAAGCCCCTCAGATGTCTCTGTTCTGATATGAGGAGGCTGACAATCCTTTTTATGGTGGCACATTCTGCAAAAGAAGTGACTTCAACTAGAGAACGTTTATATGTATGGTACTGGCATTCTCTGTCCCTATTAGTAAGAGGCCAAAGTCCCCAATTTGACAAGTTTATATTATAAGAAACGGAGCTAGGGAATTTAAGCCACTGCTTAAATTAAATTAACCTTGGGTTTTGGCTGGATTTTTTTATTTGGATGAGGAGGTTCCTTTCTGGATAATCTAAAAGTCTTTTACACACAGTATACCCTATCCACCTTAAAATTAACTTCATATGTAGTGAAGACTTGAAATAGCCATACAGTTTTTTTTTTACATTTCAGCACAAGCTCTAGTAAAAAGAAATCTCAAATCAGATGTTGACTTACTTAGGTATGCTCAGTGGAAAATTCTTAAGAACAGAGAATACTGATCCCAGTGGTAGAAACAGACCCCAACAGATACAGAGCTTTTGGACAAATGAACAGCACGAGAAAAGATTCTGGATGGAGTCATGACCTTCTGAATGAAATAGTTACCAGGTAAGAAGTGCAGTGCTGGCAGAGCTGCCTGGCTTAGTCATCGAACGAGGTAACAGCTTTTATTTTTTCATTCCCAAATGAAGTACTCTGTAGAGGAAACTGCGTTTGGGCAGGAGCATGGGCAAAAGACTGATTTTTACACCAGCAATTTGGTGTTAGCAAATATCCACTGTGTTATTTGGGGAAGGTGGGGTGGAAATCCTCATCTGCAAAAGTCTTACGATGCAAAAAATATTTGGAAACTGTAATTGACAGCACATGGTATGTCAACTCCTTGTAGGAAACGGGACCATTTCAAAAATAACCCTCTGCATGAATAGTGAGCAGAATGCTTTGTTGATTTATTTATTTTTAATGTAACTACATTTTATATATTCTGGGCTTCCCTTTGTAGTTGTGTTTATTTTCTTTGAAGGCTGTGTGGGAAAGTGAGCTTTAACTCCTCCTAAAGGAGAGGATGCTCACCACTGGTGAGGATTTGCCCTCAATAAATTCATCGAGATCACTCTTAGTGAAATTGTATTTTTCTCTGTGTATGTGTGTACGAATTCTGTTCCTGCAGTCAACTTTTGGAAAATGAATACTGTAAGCAGAAAAATATAGTTATGGTTTTTTTTTAAATGCCTGTTGCTGCACACTAGATTGTTAGAAATTTATTCCATGTACTGACTGCATTACCAGATAATTGAGGCTAACAACTAAAATGTTATTCCAAATTTTGCCTCATTTATCTCCTCTTTATATCTGTAAATGAAAATGTAACAATTGCATTTTTGTAATTCCCATAATTCCCTCAAGGATGCAGGCTTTCCTAGGTGCTGTATAGAAATGTATGAGCTGAAACAAAAAAGACACATCTGTGGTGTACAGATGGAGCAAAAACTTAGTCACAGAATAAGCAATATGACTAAATTAAAAAAAAAAAAAAGTAGGCAGTGGCAAAACTAGGCACTCTAACTTTTTAAGGAGCTTATTCCTTCCTCCTGTAATAGTGCAGTTAAGTGAAGCTTTACATCATGAGCCATATTGGGAAGTAACATCAGCGAACAAAACCAGCCCGACTGACTTGTACTTTTTTTTTTTTTTAACTAAAAGGTGATGATGGGGCTTTTTAAACCTGGTTAAATAACAGCACCACAGGATGTGAAACCACCAGCTCATAAATTGTAACTGCTTCAAGCACTGGTTGGGAGAGATCGTGTGTCATAAGATTGCCCAACATCTGGTTGAGAATTCTTACTTGCAGAGCATTTAATCACACGCCTGACTTAAAATGCATACATTACTACCGTTGCTGAATAGGTATGGAATTTCTTTTTGAGACCAATGGCAATGTATAGCTTGGGCTTGAATCTACAGAAGTAAAACAATTTTTAAAAATCTGTGATGTCTCAGTACGGTTGGACA